GCTCAAGCTACTTGCAGCATGAATAGCTCAGTTGTGTAGCCACGTATGTTTATAGATGTTTTAAGGATTCTAGATGAAGTGATAGAAAGTTAGTGGACTAGTCTGTAAAGGCTGAGTGGAACCAAACATGAAAGTTGTCATTTTATTGAGAGGAATCAAAGGGGTTGTCAGTGTGGCTGGAATAGAGGCACATGTATAGGAATGTTTGTAGATAGGATGTTAGGGCTGAACTGTGGAGGGACTGACACACCATGCTGAGGCATTTGAACCATGAGACTAGAAGAGTTGGCTCATACAGATGTACTGAGGAATGGACTTTGGTTTTCAAGATTGTGCCTGATGGTGCTTGAAAAAGGGTCTTCAGTAAAGAGAAAGAATGTAAAGATACCGCTTGTGATCCTGTTTCAGTTTGTTAGCAGTGGATATAGGAAGACTTTAATTTGAAACTTAATTTGAAACTAGATACTATACATAATGGTAAGTATGGCAAAAAATAAATAAAAGAGGAAGAGTCATGGAGGGGAGTGTTCAGTATTTCTCAGAATATAATCTAGAACAGAGGTGGGACACTATTTATGTCTTGAGATATTCAAATGCCACTGCAAGATGAACAGATAATAAGCAGAATACATTTGAAATTTCCACAAAGAAGTGAATATGAGTTCAGATGTATTATGCTCAGTGTAATGGAAGAATATATCTTTATCCCTCTTAGTCTGAGAACTCTAAAGAACACTTAATGGGAATTCATAACACTAAAAGTGGAGACATGATTTGGAAGGTCTTTCCAATAAGATGGAGCCCTGGTTGCATAGTGGTTAAGAGCTGTGGCTGCTAACCAAAAGGTCAGCGGTTGGATTTCATCAGCCTCTCCTTGGAAACCCTATGGGGCAGTTCTACTCTGTCTTACAGCGTCGCTATGAGTTGGAATCGACTCAAGGCAACAGGTTTGGTACAGGTTTTCCAACAAGGTGCAGTGATTCACTGATTTCAGTTGTGGGAATTTGAGCCATTAATCATTTTGACCAGGAAAGTCACTTGATCAGGCCAGTGTCTGGAGAATATTGACCTGATTACATAGGTTAGGTTGAGGGATGAGTTAGACATAGAGAAACAAGCTAGGTGTCTAATTTAAACATGAAGTGAGCACAACAAGTAGAGCAGCCAGAAACTGGTGCCAAAAAAGGCTATTGTAACTATAGATTATCAATCAATTTTATCAATATGTTATTAATTAAAATGCTTAGAATAGAGGTGAGGAGTGGTGGGGGTGCATCTATTTTGTTTGAGTACCACTTACTTATAATGACTCAGCCATACTAAAAATGCCATTATTAGTTCTAGGAGCCACACTTTAAGAGAGATTTTGATCAAATGAAAATGTACTAAAGAAACTGACCATGATAATCAAAGACTCAGAACTATTTTACAAGAAATGATTGAGATGGATAGTCTCAAGAGACATATGATAAGCATTCTAGCATTCAAAAATTGCAATTGCTCTCTTCTGGAAGGAAAATAAGGTGTGTGCAGGTATGTGTGTGTATGTGTGTACGTGTGTGTGTGTGTGTGTGTGTGAGAGAGAGAGATCAGGATCAGGACTAAGAGTGGAAACTATAGAGAGGAAGGCTTTACCTTCATTTGGGGGAAAATTTTTCAAACAATGTGAGTTGCTTACCAATGGAATAAATTTCTTTGTGAGGTGGTGAATTTCCCTTTATTGGAGAAGTGTAAGCATAGTGGATTACTACTTGGTGGGAAGCTTTTAAAGTATTGAAGTTTTGGTTGCGTGTTTATTGGAGGAGTTGAAAAATGTTGTACTAGATACTTTTAAGATCCAGAGAATCCTGAATTTATGATTTTAGGTATGACAGTGGGAGTGGAACAAAAAACCATAAACATCCTTCTTTCTCCCCTTGTCCTTCCTCCCTCACTAGTCCTTCCTTCTTACTTCCTTTGTTTCTTTTTTCCTCCTCTCTCTCCTTCCTTCTTCCCTCTCTCCTTCCTATTTTCTCCCCTTCTCATCTCCCTTCTTTTTATTTCTTCTTAACTTCCCTTTCTTCTTTACATCCTTAAAGTCTATTTTGTGTCACTCTACTAAGTACAGTGAGGAGCAAAGCAGACAAGAAACTTATCCTCTTGAGACTCACAGTTTTTTGGAGCAAAATAAGATGATCAACACTGATAAGTGCTAGGGAAGAAAATAACAGGCATCTGTGAAGAGAGATAGACCTGGTAAGCGATTTGCTGAAATCACTTAGAGGTGAGGAAGAATTTATAGATTATACTAAAATTTTGAGGTTGCAACTGGAAAAGACTGATATTCTTGGGAAAAAAGGGAAGATAAAAAGAGAGTTGACTTTTAAATGAAGATGATTGGGTTGGTTTTGACCTTGTTGAGTATGAAGTGATCTGGTTTCTTTTATTGCTTTTGGACATATAAGTGGGTAATGAAATGAGGTGCTTCCTTCTTGTAAAGGAAGTGTACCTGTAAGTTGATAACCTTAACTTCATTTTGCCTTACTGAACCATTCTTTTTCATCTTAATCCTCCAGTGGCATTTATCTCTGGGCTAACTGTAAAAAAACACAGATTTTTACTCTTCAAGATTACTAGAAAGAACTGGAATTCTTTATTTATTAATCAAATGAAACTGAATTAATTAAAACGGTTAAATAGAAATTAAAACACTTCTTATAGCATTTAAAAAGGAATCCAGTCAAACTAAGTTACTGTCCAGTTATATCTATGTAGTTGTAGCTACTGTCTTATACTTTGTATTTTTCCTGAGGGTTAGATCGAAAGTGAAATTTGAGATGAAAATATTAGAAGTACAAACAGTTATGAGCCAGTTCTTTAAACACTACCAATAACATTATATATTTAAAAAAAAAAACCTTTAATTATGAAAAATTTCAAATATGTACAAGCAAAAATACGATCCCCCCATCACTCACCTTCAATGATTCTCAACCTCTGGCAAACTTATTTCATCTATACCTCCATCCAGTTTCCCACTCCAAATTATTTTGATTAAATTCTCAGAATCATATCATTTCACCTAAAAATATTTCAGTGTATACCTTTAAAAGGTAAGAAATATTTTAAAAACATATTCATGATAATATTAATAATCCTAAACAGTAATAATATTTCCTTCATGATACTCATTTGCCAAGTTGCTATTATTCTAAACTTTAGAAAATTTAATAACATAATTGAAACATTTGACATTAGATGAAGTGAAGCAATTATATTTTCAAACAGTGATTGCTCTTAGTATAGAGACGTGGAAGTGTACCTCATTTTCCAGAAGCCATTAGCACTTGGTCTAAGGTTTTCTATTATCATGATATAAAAGTCCAGATACCCACAAACCAGTGAAGAGCATTTCAAATTAAGATTTTGGCCCCATTTTCTCTCAAATAAAGAATTAGTCATAGAAGATTTCATGAGAGGAGATACTGAGTAGTAATTCACAGGAAAGGAATCTTAGCTAAAAAGTTTATTTATATCTAGGTTAAAAGGTAAGGAAAGAGATTGTTAATTTTCAGATCATCTTATCCAAAAAAGCTCACTTTTTTGTTATCAATTTATGAAAATGTGTCAATGAGTCATAGCAGGAAGATTTTGCTTGTAAATCCTTGCTATATTTGAGGGAAACATATTGTAATTTAGTGAAAAATGTTTGGGTTTTGACTCAGAAGAACCGCTTACTTAGTGAAACTTCGTAAAAGTCATTAAACTTTTTTTGGTCTTATTATTCATCTATGAAATGAAGCTGATAATATCTATATCATGTTGTTGTTGTTAGCTGCCGTTGAGTCAGCCCTCGACTTATGGTGACCCTGTGTACAATGGCGTTGAACTGTTGTGATCCACAGGATAAATTTTCATAGACTGTCTTAATCTGTAAGCTCCTCTGAAACCTGTTCAGCATCATAGCAACATCCAAGCCTCCACTGACAGACAAGCCAGGAATTGAACCAGGCCTCTGACATGGCAGGCGAGAATTCTACCATTGAATGACCACTGTCGTCATCTATATCATAGAACAAGGATAAAATGAGCTACTGTGTGTGAAAGAGTTTTGTAACTAGTAAAAAAAAAAAAAAACAGAACCGTCCCAAAGAGTTTCCAAGGAGCAGCTCATGGATTTGAACTGCTGATCTTTTGGTTAGCAGCTGAGCTCTTAACTACTCCACCAACAGGGCTCCTGTAGTAAGTGCTTCTTACCTGTGGAGCTCAGTTGTACTCTGACACACATGGGGTCGCCATGAGTCTGAACTGACTCCACGGCACTTGGTACTAGTGCAGGTCTTATCTAGTGCTGCCTAACAAATAACTCCATAATTAAATGGCTTCAAAGGACAATTTAGTGTCCTTGGAGTTCTGTGGGTATACTGACTCAGTGAGGAGATTCTCACTTGAGGGTCTCTCATGCAGTTGTCAGGTGTCAGTTGGACTGGAGTCATCTGAAAGCTTGACTGGGCTGGCTATCTAAGATGGCTTCTTCACTCATGCATCTGGCACCTCAGCTGGGATAGCTCAAGCAGCTAGGGGCTGGCCAAGTTTCTCTCTCTCACCATCTAGCCTCTCTGTATGATATTCATTGAGGTGAAAAATTTCAATGAATTTTTGTTGTGTAATTCTAGGCTTCGAGGCAGCCTTACATGATAGCTGGTTTTCCCCAGAGTGAATGTTCCAAAGGTGTTGTTGTTGGGTGCTATTGAGTTGATTCTAACTCATTGTGACTTAGGAAAAATTAAAAAGCTTTTTTTGACCTAACCTCAAAAATCATTTACTGCCGTTTCTACCTTATTCTATTGGTCAGAAGTTAGTCAGATTCAAAGAGAGGGGCATAAATATTAGGAGGCAAGATTCATTGGGGGTTATCTTTGGAGCCACTACAGTGCTTTACTAATCTAATTATTTTTAAACATTCTTACTATTTACTCCTATGTCACTAAAGTTTCTACATATGATTTTTTTTTGGACAGGTTATCAAGGATCCCCCTCGACCACCACCCCCTCCACCAAAAGAGGTAAGTAAGTTTCAAGTAAAGTGCTTTGGGTTTTTTTTTTCTTTTCCTATATCTAGATGTTATCCCCAAATTTGACCAGTTAAATGTGTTGCTAGAAGACTATAATATCTATGTATTAACTTTTAAATTTATGAAACTCAATTGTTATTTTTATTCTTATGATTTTTTTCATGTGCTAGAGGGATGGGACTTTGACACATTGGTAAAAAGTAGACTGGCCTTAAGAATCAATGGTTTAATACACTTTTTATAGAGATATATCAATAGCTCTGTTGTCACTTATTTCATTTAAAAAAGGTTGGAAGATATATCTGGTAATTTAAAATGTTAATACTTTCTTTAAAATGATTGTTGTGTTTATATTACTCTGTGTGACAAAATATTTTTAGCAACATGAAATATGGGATGTACTATTGTTGTGCATTTTCAGTTTCTTAACAGCTGATCTTTTTAGTTCAGATTTCACAAAGATCAAAGTTACTATACATTGATGATTTAAATGGTTCTTGAAATGCTGTCCTAATTTTTATGTTTTATATCTTTAAATAAGAAGTGATTAATAGATAATGATGCTCAGTTAAGGAGCAACTCCTTGCCACCTAGGAGTGGTATAAGGGAGAATCCCAAAATTTGAGGAAGGGAAAAAGTCCCCATATCCTCTAGAACTCCACCTGAAATTTATGCATGTAAGCATAAATAAATGTATTTCACATGCCCTGTATGTAAATTTTACTGCATTTTTTCCATTTCAATAGCATTATTTAGAAAAAGGTTTAAATGTCAGTTATGATTAAACGGTATTTTGAGAAATTAATCTATTTTTAAAAAATTATACCAACAAAGAAGGAAGAAGAACCACTGCCTACCAAGAAATGGCCAACTGTAGATGCTTCCTATTATGGTGGGCGAGGAGTTGGAGGAATCAAAAGAATGGAGGTTGGTATCATTCAAAAAATAGAAGTTGCTAATCTGGAATATGTATTTCTGGGACTATTAAGCCATGAAAACTGTATTTTTCATGATTCAGTATCCTAGTATCATCTTTTTTACTTAATACTGGCTCTTTTCTGGATAATTTTTTTCCTATGGAATCATCTTTTCCATTTTAAAAGTGTTCAAGAACAACTGTCTTCATTAGTCAAAGAATTGCATTGATAAGACCTCTGAATTCCAAAGGGCAAGACAAAGCTAGGGCTTTTCTTAGTGTTTTGGAAAAAATTACCACACAGAACGTCAACTTTGAGGAAGCCAACCACTTAAAGTTGCAACAATGCTGGTCTTTGAAAAGATCTAATGGCCCTGTACTATTTGAGGAGAAAATGTTAAAATATTCAATAGTATGGGTATGACCTTATCACAAACATACAGGAAGCATCTCTAAGGCTTTTTAATAGTTTTTTATTACTACTTATGAACTACCATAATTAATAGTAAATGTCATTTATAGAATTTGATTCAAATTGAACTTTAATATTATATCTTAAAAATCAAATGAAATTTTTTCTCAACACCATAGAAATATTTTTTAAAAGTGATGAATTCATTAATAATAAGCAATTGTTGCCAGTTCTGAGCCCTTAACAATAGCATAGGCAGGCCAGCATACCATCCCAAGGAGCAATTTTAGAAATTTTTTCATTGGTAATTGACTTTGTTATTAAACATAGATCTTGGCATTTTTTCCTCATTAGATAGGTAGATAGCTGCTATTGAGTAGACTATGACTAATGGCAATTTTATGTGCAATAGAACTAAATGTCACCTGGTTATATAATTCTGGGATTAGTAAGTCATGAAAACTATACTTTTCATGATTTAATATCCTAGTATCATCTTTTTTACTTAACCCTGGATCTTTTCTGGATAATATTTATGACTAAATGTTTCCTCAATTTTAACTTTTCTTCTTGATAAGAACAGTTTTAATGTATTTTGCAATCCTTTTACATGTCTCCCACTGTGTATCTGCTTTCTCCCATTGCTGCCAGCAAAAATCAATAAGTTAATTAACAACTTCCAACTATTGTAATTTTCTCTTTTCAGTACAATTCAGGGTCCCAAGGAGAGCTTCCTCTTTTCACAATAAGTTTTGGTAGTCTTCAAAGAGGCCCAGATGTATTTAACATGATTGTCATTACCAAAGTATTTATTCCAGTCATCTGGTGGTGAGTCTCACTTTCCTGACCACATTAGATCATAAAATAATGCACATTTTCCCTAAGAGTGTGCCACTTTATTACTGAAATATCCTCTGAGGCAGGTACACCTTTACTAACAAGCCATGGCAAAAGGCAGGTGCTAGAAGCTGTTAAATTTGTCTTTTGGAGAAGAAATTGCTTATGTGTTTACATGTGGATAATTGGGAATATCACACAGTACAAAGAATATGGTTCTCTTGTTGGCCTAGATCTTGTTGTTTGACACAGAAGGAAGATCATTTTCCTTCCACTTGCCTTTGTTGTATAATTCTAGGTTTGGAGGCATAGGGAAAGAGTGGATTGGATGTTCCTGTATGGAGAAAAATACACTTATAAATGTATAACATTATTAGACACAGATATACTAATATGATCCATTGCAATTTATTTTGACTTTACTTAGTCTCATCCCAAAATGTGTGTGTAAAAAGATTTAGGTAAGAGTGGGAACCTTTGATAGTACATGGCACAAAATGTTAGTAGCTTTGTCTGGATGGAAAGATTCTTTGTGGTATTTATTTCCCTATTTTTTTCAAATTTATTTGAAAATGAGCATGCGCTACTTTTAAACTCAGAATAATAAATTTAATTCCCTTTTGAAATCTATACATGTAAAATACAACATGAGAATAAGGTAAGGATATGTTAGCCTTAAATGCATGAATAATGTTCCCGCTGAAAACATTAAAAGAAAATGTCAGCTTTTTGGTTGCCCAATATGCCGGTGTTACAAAGATTGAGTTCTCTTTCCAAGTAAGAGGGAAGAGTAAGCATTAGTCACTAAATGGGCCCTGAATTAAAAGGAAGGTTACTGGTTTACGATCAAAAGAGCCAAGGGCTCCTGCACATCCCATTTCAAGTTTCAAGAGTTATTGACTTTTAATATGTAAAATAGTGTCTCCTCATCTTATCCATTGAAGAAAATTTGTGAAAAGGACTTAGCCAGCTCTGAGCCTATGTTAGCCTTGGCTAATTTTGACTACATTGTATGGACTATTCCATAAATTTATATGAATGAGAAAAAAATGGAAAAGCAAATGTGGACATTATAAAGACAAACACAATGCATAATCATCTTTTTTTTTTACTAAATTTCTCAAATATGGCTGAGAAAGACCCGTTAATTTTGAATATGTCCTCTGAAATTGAGAATTAAGTGTTATTAAAATTTTGCAAACATGAATTTATTTAAACTTGGAGTAGGAAAACAGAAAAACAATTTGTTTTAGAAGCATGCCTCTTCACAAATGCATAGAGACAAAAGTAGATTAGTTGTTTCCACTGGCTTTAGGGAGGAAGAAATGGGGAGGAAAAAAGAAGTCAGGGAGATTCCGGACTTTTCAATAATCAAAAAATAAAATCTTAAACTGGAGGAAAAGTAAAAGGAATCGTAGAAATTATGAGCAAATCTGAATTAAAGAACAAATCTTAATAACTATGGTTATTTTAAGCTAGTATAGGAATTTTAGGAACCCTGGTGTTGCAGTGGTTAAAGTTAAAGCTCTTGGCTGCTAACCGAAAGATTGGCAGTTTGAAACCACCAGCCACTGCATGCGAGAAAGACGTGGCACTCTGCTTCCGTAAAGATTTACAGCGCTGGCAGATCTACTACGTTCTAGAGGGTTGCTATGAGTTGGAATCGACTGGACAGCAGTGGGTTTGGGTTTTTGGGTTTTACAGGAATTTTACCTAGAATTTTTCTTACTCCTTTAAATATTTAAACACTATGGTAATGGCAATTTGCAGAAGTCTAGAACTGAGTTGATGTAAATATCAGTTGTTAGTTCAACTCATCCACTATACCTAATGACTTCAAATGAATGTTTCTGCCAGTTCAACGTGAAAATGTTCTAGTTTCTTTTCTGGATTCTGAAATTACTCCTCTATGATGCAGCTTCACAGCCATCTACATATACTCTGGAAATTATGAGATTTCAGTGTTTAATAATGAAAGCAAGTGAAGTTGGAAGAATTTAGCTATCAAGCTTAATTTAGCTATCAAGCTTACACTTACTTTTTTTTTTTACATAGTAAGAAAGCCAGATATATTAATCCAGTAAATCTCCTTTTAGCAAGCTATTCTTGTTACTCTTTCATCCTTTTTACTATCTCAGTGTGGTCAAATTAAAAACATTTTCAAATTTGTACATATATGTATATATAATATCTTTTAAGAGTTTTATGAAAACTGTAAAGTATACCATAGTCTCTTAAAATGGTTCTAAGTTTAGACTTAGAGATTTTATAAGTGAGACTTGTTTGTTGTGTTGTTGTGGGTGGTGATGATGATGCTAATGAAAAAATTAGCTCATACTAATGACTTCATTTAATCATTTTCCTCTAGGTCCTTAGCAACTATAATTCCATAGGTATGGTCTATTGATAGCTGAATCCTTAGAAATGCCACATAGGTTAACTCTAGTTCATCTAGCTTAGTGCTGTTTATCTGAGGATGGTGTCAGTAATAGTTGAAAAAAAATATGATTACTGTTATCTCTACTGTATCAACCATGAATGTTAAGTGGGGATCTGTGTTTTTTAAAATCCATCATTTCTGAATAGACTTAAATTTTATTTTCTTATATTTCTACTTTGATTTACTTCTCTGAGTTATGAAGTGCATATGTTTACTTAATTGTGTATCTACTTTTTTTTTTTCCTTAAAATTGAGACTTCACAACCTTGGTTTTAGAGTTTTTAATTCAATTTTGCTATATCTAAAAATTTTGTAAGTTTTAGTTTATCTAGTTGAAGGCACTGTAATTTGAAAGAGAAGGTCATTTCTCTGGAAAGAAAGCCAACTATGTAGCTCTAAAGGTTTAATGGTGTTTAAAACAATTTTAACAACCTCATAAAGAACATTCTAGTACCACTGATCACAACTGAAAGATACAGATACATTTTAATGACTCAGCAGGGTCCACTTGAAATTGAAAGCTCATTTTAAAATTGTAGTAAAAAAGAGGTAAAAACATCTAAGTAACCTTATCAAAAAGCTGTGAATAGTTCTTTCTATGAACAGTGATCATCTGTATCCCTGCCTACTAATTCAGGTCATTAAAATGCTTTAAAAAGTATTTAATTTTTTTCCCCTTGTAGAAATCTCTTTAGTGAGTCATTATGTGCCCTGAATAGGCCTTCTTCTTTTTAGAGTTCCACTTGCCTTATCTTTGTGGTCTTTGGAAATGTGCTTGGTTTTCACAGGACTTCCCTACCACCGCCTGATTGGACAAAGCCTTTGTCCGGGGACCACATCTTACTCACATGCCAACATGTGAAAAAGTTAGGCTCAGAGTTGGCCCTAATTCCTGTTTCTTGCAAAATAAAGAAAATAATCATTTAACCCTGTAGTTTTCAATGTCAGGGATTTTCAGAGAAGGAGATTCTCTGAAATTTGTGGAATTCCCTGGTCTTCCTGGGTTCTTCTTTTCAAAGCAGAGTCTTTTCAAATTTGTCTTCCTCAATGAAAAATTCATATGCCAAATAATCTTATGCAGATGAACACAAGAGCTAAAGAAATTGAAAGCTACTTTATATAAAAAGTAAAGAAAAATCGTATATAATTATTTTATTTCCAAAAACTAAATCTTTAAGTCATACTTTCTGCCTTATCAAACTTGATGAAAAGTTTGGAAAGAGCAGTTGACTTTTTTGTTGTGAGTTACATTTGTAAAATTTAAACCTATTTGAAACTTATAAATCCCTTTCAGACTGCTTAGGTTCAAATCCCTGCCCTGCTACTTAATAGCTGTGGGGCTTTGGGAACATCATTTAAGCTCTCTGTGCCTCAGTTTCTTTATCTAGAAACAACTATAGTATCTGTTTCATTGTGTTTTTGTGAAGATTAAATGAGAGACTGGTACATAGATGGATAGATAGCTGCCATCAAGTCAACTCCGACTTGACTCATGGCAACAGAAGATAATATTGCTTGGTCCTGCATCATATTCGTAATTGCCAGCATGTTCAAGTCCATTATTGCTGCTGTTGTGCTGATCCATCTCACCAAGGGTCTTCCTCACCCTAGTTGGCCCTCTACTTCAACAAATATGATGTCTTTCTCCAGCAATTGATCCCTCCTGATGATGTGTCCAAAGCAAGCAAGTTGGGCAATGTTCTGTTGTGATCCATCAGATTTCCATTGTATTGCTCAAAAAATGTTATTATCAACATCATCATCAATTTCTCCCAGTATCATCAGTATACATGGGTATTTGTTTACCTAGTAAGGGAGCATACCCAGTTAGAGAATAGAGTTACAAACTGTCATGCATTTCCTATGTAAACCACAAATTAACTCGTCTTTTGAAACTATGGAGAAATAATTGCTTCAAATTTAATTGATTCCAGATATTTATGAAGGGACTCTTTTTTAGGATCTCAATATTAAATAAATGAGGAGTGAGAAACATATTAAATATCAGAAGAAAATGAACTTGGAATCAGTATACCTCGTCAGGAGTCCTTAGGTAGTACAAACAGTTAAGGCACTTGGCTGCCAACCTAAAGGCTGGCTTTTTGAGTTCACCCAGAGGCACCTAAGAAAAAAGGCTTAGTGATCTACTTCCAAAAAATCAGCCATTGAAAACCCTATGGAGCACAGTTCTACTCTGAAACACATGGGGTTGCCATGATTTGGAATCTACTCCATGGCAGCTCATTTTTGTTTTCTGTTGTTTTTTTTAATACATAGTCAATTTGCTTTCATTCTGAGATAGTGGACCATAGGACCATAGGCTGTGTAAGAGTTTGTTCCTCTAGGACACTGTATGTCTGATACTAGTATTTCCCTTTTATTTTAAAGGTTCGTTGGGGTGATAAAGGATCTACTGAGGAAGGTGCAAGGCTAGAAAAAGCCAAAAATGCTGTGGTGACTATTCCTGAAGAAACAGAGGAACCCATCAGGCCTAGACCACCAAAGCCCAAACCCACATACCAGCCTCCTCAGACAAAGTGGTACACGCCAATTAAGGTAATTTCATGCAGTTGAGCATAAACCTTCTAGAAACTGTAGCTTTTTTAGGTCTCCTCCTCCAACTATTTGAAGGAGGACTAAATAATTGACTGAGATGGGTAGGTAATTGAAGAATTTATTTAGAAGTTTAGGACCATACTTAAATCAATGAGTCATTTTAGATGAGGAATTGTCTTAATTGATATTTGTTATTCATGATTTAGTGAGTTCACCATGGTCTTTATCATCTAATAATTATATAATAATGTGATTATTAGTTGACTAAGATAATATAAAAAATAATTTATTACATTAAAACATTTAATATAATAGTTAAAATATTTATTTTTATTCAGGAAGGAAGAAAAAATATCCATCATTTCACAATGCAATGAATATATTCTCCCAGTTTTCAAAAGAATATTCTATATAGTGGAGATCATATTCTATATAGAACTCCTTTATTCTACTTTTTCACATATTGAATTTATAAATAAGCATTTACCCATGTTACTATAAACTCCTAGTTATCCTCACTTTTAATGGATGCATGATATAAATTGTGTGGCTATACATAATTAACTTATTTTTGGATGTATAATTTCCAGTATCAAACCTGTTATAAGTAACACTGCAATGAATATCTTTTTGTAGGTATTTTAGCTTTTTATTAAAAAATGACATATTAACTCTCATTTCATAAGGTATTTGAGGCAGCTTAACTATAAATAAAATTTATTACATAAATACAAAAGTATACACCTACTCTTCATTTATTGACTACCATGTTATCCGAAATTTCGCATTTATGACAATAGTAAAAAATCTACTATCTGTTTTGCGCATTAATAGCGTACATCTGGCAATAACAAATGCCAAGGTGTAAGGTGAGAGTAATGCTGGCTGTAATGTTAAAGTTATGTGTCACCTTGGCTGGGCCATGATTCTCAGTGGTTTGGCAGTTATGTAATGATGTAACTTGGCAATTATGTAATGATGTAGTCATCCTCTATTTTGTGATGTGATGTCATATGGTCATCCTCCCTTTGCACATAACGCCGATTTTCACATAATGCCCTAGTTTTGGAACCTAACCATGTCAATAAGTGAGGAGGGGGTGTAACAGTGTTACCATAGCAAAGTGGAAAACATGATATCAGTTACAAGATTCATAGCTATATGAGATAAAAATATACTTCAAAGTTGTTTCTATGAGGCAGAAATTTTCCTGGAACACAGGAGACCCGGATCTGGAGACCTATGACAGTGAATCTCTTCTCTAACAATCTTTTCACATTACATATAACAGCAAATTTTATACCTCAATGTAGAGCACTGGCAACATGCCAAAGCACAATTTTAAAAACAAAACAAAACAATTTTACAGGGAGCCAAAATAAGTGCGGTATAAGACAACAAGCCTCTAATTTACCTGATCCAAGAATAATACTTAGAATATAAAGAAACAGATGAACTAAGTAAACATCCATAACTATGATTTTTTGAAAGAAGACTTTGGGTAAGGTTTGGATACCAGAAAGTCAAGACTGTAGTATAGTAGTTGCATATTGGTTTTTTTTTTCTTTTATAGACTATATTCAAAGAAATGGAATTACAGAACCCAAGAGACATGGACATTTTTAAAGCACTTGATAGATATCACCAAATTGCTTCCTAAAAGTGTTGAATCAATTTTCATTCTCACTGGAGGTGTTTGAGAGTACCTGTTTCACATCACCTCTTATCAACTCAATTTTGGGACAATTTCTTAAACAGAAAAAAAATTACTAGCAAGGGGAAAAAAAGATTCACAGAGACAAATTCAAAATTAAAAAAAGGTGGAAAAATAAGATAGAATAAAAATAAGATTTGATCAAATAGCGGACATTCATTTTACATTCAGACAACAAAATACTTTCTTGACAATAAGAACCTCCAAGTATTTATTTGTTTATCATAGTTTAATTTAAAAAAGGACAAAGAGAGAGAATAAGACTTCACTTTCTTCATTTCCATTCTTCATTTATTCAGTAAACAGAAGTTGAATACATTCCCTGGGAATTTACAAGACACCTTTCTCTTTAGGGGCGTCTTGATGCACTCTGGGCTTTGTTGCGGCGACAGTACGACCGTGTCTCCTTGATGCGACCTCAGGAAGGAGATGAGGTTTGTATGTGGGCATGTGCTGGGAAAAAAAATGAGTCTTGGTCAATATACTGAAATGGTGAAATAATAATAAACAATAAAAAAGCTCTTATTACACTTGAGGAAGGAACTACTTTTGTCTACTCAAATTTCTATTACATAGGGTGCTTACTAAATTATTATCTTTTGTTGGAATGCATCCTCAAGTTGTAGTTCAACACCAGTCCTTTTTCAAGTAATACATACCAGTTATGGTCATGTGTACTCATACTTTAATAAGCACACTCATTGCTTCAACCTTTGACTTAGAAGACATTACATTCTGAGGTCTTACCCAGTCAGAAGGACAGACTAGAAATTAGTAGCTGAAAGTCTTTCTCTAGTATTTACTAGCAATGAGGCCTAAGGAAAATGCCTCAAAACCTCAGTTTCCTTAGGTATAAGTATGTATTTCCCTGTCTCTAATAGTTGCTGTAATCTAATTTTCTGACTATATGAAAGTTTTTTCGAAGTTACAAAGAATTAGAGAAGTCTGTGATGGTGATATGTGTATATGTATATATATGTATGTATTTTACCCCCACCAAGGAAACTTATTTGAGGCTTGTCTGTTTTTAATTTCCATAATGTATTAGCACTATTTCCTATTGTACCAATCTAAGAAAAAAATGTTTTAAATCTTTTCTTACGTATCAATGGCTAGTTTTGGTTGAGAGACACAATACTGTTTGTAATATTAGGATTATTTCATTGAGTCAACATGATCATCATTCTGTTCTAACAAGAGAGTAAAGTTCATTATTCAACTTAAGAGGTCTTTATGTTCATTCAAGTCTGATAGGCTGTTTTTTAAAGGTTGAAATAATTGATAAAATTTATCTTATTGTAACAAGCTAAGTTATTTAATATTATAAAGTTCTAATTTGGTGATTAAAACACTAAAGGGTCTACATCCTAAAATTGTATTTCTATGAGATGGAGGGAATTTTAATAACCTCTGAGTTCAACTTTTAGGAAATCCAATTTAAGAACATCTTCCTGGAATATTCCCAACAGATCATCATTTACCCTCTTTTAGGACCAAAAGTAGAGACAATCAACTGGCTTATGAAGCAGCCTCTCTCATTACCAGACCACTGTGGTTAACAGAAAGTTCTTATGTTTAAATTTGTCTCTCTGTTTAAATTCATGCGTGATCTGGAGTTCTGTTTCTGGAACACATGTAACAAATCTACTTCCTCTTCAGCATGCTTGACCTTCACTTCACGTATTTTAAAATTGTTTTCCCGTATCATTTTAGGTTTATTTTCCTCCTCAGGTTAGATATTAGTTCATTTGTTCAATCATTTTCACCTTATTAAGTACTGGATGGTGCTAGCATTGAAGATGCAGTAGCTAGCAAAAGCAGACATTGGTTTCTGCCTTCATGACAATACTTTATATATATTTTTTAACTATCATGATTCAGCGTTAATGTTTAGCTTATCATCATTTCTACTAATTTTGATTCAATTCAATAATTTTTTGATGATAAATGCACACAAGTAATGGCATCAAGTACTACTGAGGGGTGGATACAAACAGTAGCACTTGCTCTTAAGAAGCTTAAAATGTGTTTGGGAAACAAGACATATACATAAATGATATTTATTCTGGAATGTGATCTGGGCTGTATTAGAATTAAGTGTCACGTACTCCTAAGTGTATAGAGGAAGAGAGGTTAACTCTCTCTCGAGGAATTAGGGAAAGCCACTTCAAAAAGACAGGCATTCTATCTGTACCTTTGAAAATGGATAGGACTTCAGTAGCTGGCGTTAGATGGAATGAGCATTTCCATAGAAGAAGCATCATGAGAAGAGTCACAGAAGCAGCCGATTGCTAGATAATCTTAGGGTGGAGGGGAGGGCAGAGAAGAATTAAAATCAGAAAGGTAGATTGGGAATAGAGGATATCTTTGTGTTTGGATAATTTGATCTGTTGGTTTACTTTTAATGATGCGTTATACTCGTTCATTTATTCAACAAATATTTACCTAATGCCTAACATGTTTTAGGCACTTTCTTAGACAACAAGAAAATTTAACATTGTTTTTATAGTACTAGAATATTCCACATGTTCTGTGAGCAGTTCAATCATTATTTTTCCATGATTCAAGAATAATTTCTTCCACTATTTTGGCCAAACTTTCTTTTGCTGTTTAGTAAGTTGGTTATACTTTTGACTTATATCGTTGTAAAGCCTTTTGTTCTAACTCTTGAGGTCAAATTGTTTGAAAATTCAGAGTTTTTCAGATAGTAGAATGTGATATAGTCCATATGTCATATATTATGTAAAGCAGCATCTTATAGTCACATCATTCAGACATTTTGCTACAGCAATATTAATTATTACAAGTGGATATATAGAGACTATAAATAGTCTTAAGTTAATTCAGGTTAGATGTTGCTTCCAAATGAATTCTGGTTCCAAACTTAGGACAGAACTTTCAGTTTTCAAAGATTTTGGATTTTAGATATATAGATAAAAGACAGTAAACCTTTATTGTGTGTGATTAAAACCCCAATTTTTCCACTTTACCCCTATGCTATTTATGGTTTTGTTTTTTGTTTTTACTTAAATGCAGGTCTTTACGTTAAGCTTAGTAAATGCCAGCTATTGGATCAAGTAATTGATTTTTTCCCATCAAATATATATCTAATTCTATGTGTGCCTGATGCAATCTGACTTAATCTTTCATCATAATACCTATTCTTTTTAGTTTAGCTGCTTTCAACATTTTGCCACCTGCAAATTGTTGTCAACTTATTTCAAGCCACTGTTAAAAACTCAGTATGGCACTCCATGAGAAGCTTTCCCCACAGGTCAACACTCCACAGTTAAGTGACACTGCTGTGATAAAGCTAGGAACCCACCCAACAGCACAACCTCACTTTACCATCTTACTCACAAGAATATTTAATAAATTTTTACTAAATTCACTGCTAAAATTAAGGTATAATATATATTTATGTATTCTTCCATCTGACCAGACCAACCATGCAATATTTTTTGATCAGGAAAATCAGGTACCTATGACATGATTTGCACTTTTGCACCTATGTTTCTTCCTAGTGCTCCTTGCACTTTTATAAAATATTTAATATTTTTTAGACTGGGGTTTGGTGTCAAGTCTATATTTATCAGCATATAGCCTCTTCCCTTTAGACAACTTGAGAAATCTTTGGCACTCTTTTTATTTTCCAGCTTTCCATTTTGCATGTTTCCACGAAGATTATTATGAATATTTGGGTTTCTGTCAGCCTACATTACCAACTAGGTCTTGCTTATTTGGTCAAACTAATTCCAGTGTAAACTCTATCTGCCATACATACATAACTGTAACACGTATTTCCCAAAGATTAAGTAATAGAATTATGCACCAAGATTTATTCCAATATATTAATAGAATTAGCTTTCCATGCTTTATTAAGGCAACTGAAGGGTACTAACAGTTCTTTCTGTTACTATTCTGGTTGCACTGCCTCTAGAATGCTTTATTCCTTTTTCCTTCCTCCCTTTCCTCTCTTCCGTATATATATATATATATATATATGTAAATTTCATATATATTTGCTTGAAGAAAGGGGAAAATGAATTTACCTCAGCGTGTGTGTGTGTGTGTGTGTGTGTTTAGTTTTCAAGGTGTAAACAAGCAAACAAAAAACCAAACCTACTGCCATTGAGTCAATTCCAACTCATAGCGACCCTATAGGACAGAGTAGAGCTGCCCCATGGGGTTTCCAAGGAGCGGCTGGTAGATTTGAACTTCCGACCTTTTGGTTAGCAGCCGTAGCTCTTAACCACTGCACCACCAGGTTTCCTTTCATGGTATACCAGAGCATAAAGTCACTGGATGAGAAAAATTAGTCCTGGAGTACTCTTGGTAGCTTTGGATCACCACAGTCCCCTGTGATTGGATTCTGAAAAGTTGTTGGTTGCTGTCGAGTTGATTCCAACTCATGGCTACACCGTAAAGAAGGCTAAAATGTGGTGTTTTACATCTTTACTCCCCTCAAACCAATCAAATACTTGATTAAACTAAGTTAAACAGTTTAAATTAAGTCAAAGATTTAACTTACAAAAATTTTCATATATTTACATTAGAGATGTTGTCTTAGTTATTTAATGCTGCTAAAACAGAAATACTACAAGTGGGTGGCTTTAACAAGCAGAAGTTTATTTTCTCACAGTTTAGGAGGCTAGAAGTCTGAATTCAGGGTGCCAGCTCTAGGGGAAGGTAGCCTCTATCAGCTCTGGAGGAAGGTCTTTGTCTCTTTCGAGCTATGTTTTTGGGTGACCTTCATGTGGCTTGGCATCTCTCTTCCCCCATCTCTGCTTGCTCACTTGCTTGTTTATTTTATATTTCAAAAGAGATTCACATAAGACATACCCTACAGTAATACTGTCTCATTAATGTAACAAAGAAATCTTTTCCCAAATGGGATTACAGTATAACCACAGGTATACTGCTGCCATTGAGTAGATTCTGACTTATAGTGACCCTATAGGACAGAGTAGAACTGCCCCACAGGGTTTCCAAGGAGTGGCTGGTGGATTCGAACTGCCATCCTTTTGGTTAGCAGCCAAGCTCTTAACCACTGTGTGCCCTCAGGGCTCCAAGCACAGGTATAAGGGTTAGGATTTACAACCCATGCTTTTGGAGGATACAATTCAATCCATAACAGACGCTCATTTTCCTTTGAGGCAGTTTAATTTATCTCTTTTATTTCAAGAAATCTATTTTTGCTATTGAATTTTCTCATTACGTTTTAGGAAATTTGTTAGTAGTATTATATCAGCTTAGGTTAGAGACGTTGATTCTTTCTAAAAAGATTTGTCTATGCGTAGCAAATAATTCATTAGAACAAATGTTACTGTCTACTCAAGGCCAATTCTTTTTAAAGAAACTTTTGTATCAGTATGTAAATTGATAAATGCGTTTTGCAAACATTTTTCTACTTTCTTTGCTCATAAACGTATGTGTGTATATACATGTATATATTTACTGATGGTTATGCTTCTTATGATATATTTGCATAATGGTACAGAAGGTGTGTGTGTATGTGTGCATGCATAGGTACATGTGATTATAAAGAAATTTGTACACTGTAGAAATTAAGAATAATTTTGGAAAATTTTTCTAGTCGTTTAAAATGGATGTTTATTCTATATTGTCAAGAAATAAATGGGAATGTTTTCTCATACCTGAATTTTAAAGGACGTAATAGGCACGGTCTTTCTTAAAAAAAAGACGGTACAAACTTTATGCTGCTTGAGAGACAATAAGTCACAATGACTCTCAGATTGTGGCTGATGGTTCCAAAATATATTCTGCCTAGCCAACAGCATGTTTTCTACCTTAGAAAACAATCTTGCCATTTATTTATAAATTGTTTACTGCAGACTCAGCCTCTTAAGAGCTTAGTTTAATAAACAAATCAGCGTACATATACCTAAATCCGGAGTCACGCACATTACTCTGCAATCCCGTCACGCTGAATTTCAAGCCAAACGCTCTCCTTTTGTAGCTCAGAGGCCGCACCGTGCTCATTTGCAGAAGAATCCACTGCAGAATTGAAGTCCTTGATCAAGTAATTGAAGTTCAGGCATAAAGTATCAAAGACACGCGAGAACGCTCTCTCTTTGTCCCTCGCTCTCGCTACCTTTCCGCGCCGCCAGCTCCTGCCGAGGTGGCCCGGTCGGCGGGCTGCACACAGACCAGGCACCGCCTTTGATTGCGGCTGGAACTCCTTTGAGTCATGAATGTTTCAGCGCACGGCGCGCGAGGTTAGAGCCGCGCGTCCAGGTGTAAGCTAGCAGGTTGTCGCCAACATCTGTTTGCAGCAGCGGCAGTGGCCTCCCCAGACCGCAGTGAGTGGCCGGATTGTCAGCGGAGGTAGTTGAGAGCGGCAGAACCGTTTTGGTCTCACATTCACTGCCTGGAGGCCCGAAACACCAAAGGTAGGAGTAGGGGTGGACACAGCTGCGCTCTCAAACTTGCCTTAGGCATAAATAGAGATCTAATGTAGTTTGACTCCGTTGCGGTGGGGAGACGAGGACTGAAAGCTACTTCAGAGACAACTTAACGCTGCAACATCTGCCGCCAGGTTTCCAGGGAGTGACAGGGGACAGCAGGTACAGATCGAAGCCTCCACATAAACAATCCACATTAAACCATGGACTCTTTTGAAGGGCTTCCATCAGACATGGCAGAGTCTGCAGCAGGAGTTTGTTTGGTTTTCAAAGCAGTGTTTTGTTTTTGCAATAACAAGGTAATTTATAAATGATGCATAACCATGCGTTCTCCTTTTTATTTGAAAAGAGAGTGTTAGAGAAACAGAAAGGCAAAGGAAGAAGAAAGCATGGCACTAGTGTTGGAGTTGTTCCACAAACCAATTAAATCTCCAAGGAGCTTCTTGGCTGTAATCGAGGTTATGTTAACCTTCAGACCACAGTTTCACATTCACCAATAAGCAGGCATAAATGTATATACTTCAAGGGAAGATTCCTAGTAACATCTGCAAAGTACATCACTGTTTGTTTTGAAACATACAGGGTTTCTTATAACACGGAGGTGAGATTATATCTTTTCAGATGCACATAATCTTTTTTAGGAAAGCAAAATTTAGAAAATTGTGTTGGTTTTAATTTGCTGCCTGTTTATAGATGCTTCAGACCAATAGTTGTATACTTAAAAAAACATAAATCAAAAAAGTAAAAATTACAAGTTAAAGCAACCATTTTTCTTTTGTTGGGATTCCCCCCATCACCACCTGGTTTCTGGCAGAAAAAAAAATCAAGAATTTGTTGCTTTTTCACTGGGAGTATTGCAAAAACTCATAATTGTGCACACATGTATATGACATAATCAAAAACCCAAAACCAAACCCACTGCTATCGAGTAGATTCCGACTCATAGTGACCCTATATGGTTTCCAATGAGCGGCTTGGTGGATTCGAACTGCCAACCTTTTGGTTAGCAGCCATGTTCTTAACCACTGTGCCACCAGGGCTCCCGTATGACTTAATAGAATAGGTTAGATAAAATATTGACCTGATATGTAAGAGCTCCAGGGTATTGTAACGTAATAAAGATACTATGATAATGTAAATTATTATCATTCATAAAATTTAGACTCCCTTATCCGACGAAATAGCTGCACAACCACTTTGAGATACTGGCAAGATGCTGACTCAAAGGTATCCTTTGGAATGGTGGTAGCAAGGGAGCAGTGGCCTGGGGAGAGATGCTAGTGTGTGGCAAAGTTTTCATCAGTCAGTGGCGTGATAAACAACGTAAGTACACAGTGAGTTTTCAATTATGCTAAATGTGTTATGTTGAGAGGACTTTTGTTAATTGTGCAGATATAATTTTCAATTTTTGAAACTATTGATGGCAAAAAAAAAAAAAAAAAAAACAACCCATCGCCATCTGTCAATTTTGACTCATAGCAACCCTATAGGACAGAGTAGAACTGCCCCATAGGGTTTCCAAGGAGCGGCTGGTGGATTTGAACTACTGACCTTTTGTTAGAAGCTGAGCTCATAACCACTGTGCCACCAGGGCTCCACAATTAAAGATAGCTACTTAAAAAAAAAGTCCATTCTTGACAGAACTCAAATACCAACATTTTGGTATTTTTCTCTCCTCTTTTCATTTTCAATGCTTGGAATTATGCCGTTAATGACTGCATTCTTAAAACTCATTTTTTAGGTTTTAAATACTTATATTTTAGTTATATGTATATTTAAATTAGATATTGTAATCTTTAAATATCTAAATACTTTGTGTCATATATGTGAACTCTGTAATAGATTTTAGAGATTGTGATAAAACCCTTTTGTGTAGCCTGAGTAAAGCCTATTGTACACAACGTGCTCCCGGTACTTTCAAACTTTTCCTTTTTTTATACTAAAATGAAAGAGTAGAGAAAAATATCAAAGTTTTGTAAAATGGTAAATTGATTGTTTACCTTCTATTTCTGTAAGATCTGAAATTTGATATGATCCTTTAGGCCAATTATTATGTGACAATGCTGGGAAAATATACCATTACACTCTGTTAACCTTTATTTTACTGCTAGTAGCTTGCTTTCTTATTATCTCGTCTTGGTGTTTTAGGGCTTTCTTAAAATACCATCATATTGTGTTTAAATTGGTAGAAGTATTTACCTTTTTTTAATACATATCTGAGTGATAAAAATTTTTCTAAAACAACCTACATATGAGTGTGTCATTATTAGTACAGTCTCACTGACTGATTTATGAGTGTGTGTGCATATTTATGAAAGTATGTTGTATATGTGTGTGTGTGTGTGTGTATATATACATATAAAATGATGTAGGAGCCCTAGTGGCACAGTGGTTGAGAGCTACCATCTACTCCTTGGAAACCCTATGGGGCAGTTCTGCTCTGTCCTGTAGGGTCACTAGGAGTAGGAATCGAATCAGTGGGGAATGAAATTGTTTTTTTTTTTTGTTTTCATACGTGTGTGTGTATATGTATATGGAGCCCTGGGGGCACAATGATTAAGAGCTAGTCTCCTAACCAAAAGGTCAGCAGTTCAAATCTACCAGCC